TGGCGGATTGCCCGAAGGCACGCCTCATTCTCCCGGCGGTGGGCCCCCACACCACCATTACGAGGGACGGCAAGATTGAATACACAGAGGCACCGCGCCCGGGAGTGAGTGGCCCCACTGCGTACATCCAGTCGCTCCGCCAAGACACATCTTTCATTAGTCTCAAGTCAGCCGACGTCGATACTCAGATCAACCTGACCGACGCTTTGATTGAGGCTATGTGCTTAGCACTCCATGATGGGATCTGCTTTGTTGGTAAAACCTTTCTGGTGACGGGAGCGGGTCAGGGGTCGATAGGAGCGGGTGTGGTGCGGCTATTGTTAGAGGGAGGAGCCCGAGTACTGGTGACAACGAGCAGGGAGCCGGCGACGACAGCCAGGTACTTCCAGCAGATGTACGGTAATCACGGCGCAAAGTTCTCCGAGCTGCGGGTAATACCTTGCAATCTAGCCAGTGCCCAAGATTGCAAAGGGCTGATCCAGTACGTCTACGATCCCCGCAGGCTAAATTGGGATCTGGATGCCATCCTTCCCTTCGCTGCCGCATCCGACTATAGCACCGAGATGCATGACATTGGGGGGCAGAGCGAGCTGGGCCACCGACTAATGCTGGTCAATGTCTTCCGCCTGCTGGGGCATATCGTCCACTGTAAACGAAATGCAGGGGTTGACTGCCATCCGACCCAGGTGCTGCTCCCACTGTCACCAAATCACGGCATCTTTGGTGGCGACGGGATGTATCCGGAGTCAAAGCTAGCGCTTGAGAGTCTGTTCCATCGCATCCAATCGGAGTCTTGGTCAGACCAGCTATCTATCTGCGGCGTTCGCATCGGGTGGACCCGGTCGACCGGCCTAATGACAACCCATGATATCATCGCCGATAAGGTCGAACAACACGGAATACGCACATTTTCCGTGGCTGAGATGGCATTCAACATCGCCATGCTGCTAACCCCCAAATTTGTGGCCCATTGTGAAGATGGACCTTTGGATGCCGATTTCACCGGCAGCCTGGGAACATTTGGTAGTAGGCCCGGTTTCTTAGCCGAATTGCACCAGAATGTCCAGCTGGCGGCCGAGGTGATTCGTGCCGTGCAGGCCGAGGATGAGCATGAGAGACTCTTGTCTCCGGGAATAAAACCTACCCAGCAAGCACCCGTGGCCCCAATTCACCCCCGCAGTAGCCTTTGTGTAGGTTATCCCCATCTCCCCGATTATGAGCAAGAGATTCGTCCCCTGCTACCGCGTCTGGAAAGGTTGCAAGATCCGGCCAACGCTGTGGTGGTGGTTGGGTACTCGGAGCTGGGGCCATGGGGTAGCGCGCGGTTACGGTGGGAAATGGAGAGCCAGGGCCAGTGGACTTCAGCCGGCTATGTCGAGCTTGCCTGGCTGATGAACCTCATCCGCCACGTCGACGATGAATCCTACGTCGGCTGGGTGGATACTCAGACCGGGAAGCCAGTGCGGGATGGCGAGATCCAGGCACTGTACGGGGACCATATTGACAACCACACCGGGATACGTCCTATCCGGTCCACTTCGTACAATCCAGAGCGCAGGGAGGTCCTGCAGGAGGTCGCCGTCGAGGAGGATCTGCCCGAGTTTGAAGTATCTCAACATACCGCCGACGCCATGCGCCTCCGCCATGGGGCTCACGTTTCCATCCGGCCCAGTGGAAATCCCGACGCATGCCGCGTGAAGCTTAAACGAGGCGCTGTTATCCTTGTTCCCAAGACAGTTCCCTTTGTTTGGGGATCGTGTGCCGGTGAGTTGCCGGCTGGGTGGACTCCAGCCAAGTACGGCATCCCTGAGAACCTAATCCATCAGGTCGACCCCGTCACGCTCTATACGGTTTGCTGCGTGGCTGAGGCATTTTACAGTGCCGGTATAACTGACCCTCTTGAGGTCTTTCAACACATCCACCTCTCGGAACTAGGCAACTTTATCGGATCCTCCATGGGTGGGCCGACGAAGACTCGTCAACTCTACCGAGATGTCTACTTCGATTATGACATCCCGTCTGATGTTCTGCAAGACACTTATCTCAACACACCCGCTGCCTGGGTCAATATGCTGCTCCTCGGCTGCACGGGGCCGATCAAAACTCCCGTCGGCGCATGTGCCACCGGAGTCGAGTCGATCGATTCCGGCTACGAGTCAATCATGGCAGGCAAGACCAAGATGTGTCTTGTGGGTGGCTACGATGATCTGCAGGAGGAGGCATCGTATGGATTCGCACAACTCAAGGCCACGGTCAACGTTGAAGAGGAGATCGCCTGCGGTCGACAGCCCTCGGAGATGTCGCGCCCCATGGCTGAGAGTCGCGCTGGCTTTGTCGAGGCGCATGGCTGCGGCATACAGCTGCTGTGTCGAGGTGACATCGCCCTAAAAATGGGTCTCCCTATCTACGCGGTCATTGCCAGCTCAGCCATGGCCGCCGACAAGATTGGTTCCTCGGTGCCAGCACCGGGACAGGGCATCCTAAGCTTCTCCCGTGAGCGCGCTCGATCCAGTATGATATCCCTCACATCGCGCCCGAGCAGCAGTAGCAGCACATCATCCGAAGTCTCAGACAAATCATTCCTGACCTCAATCACGTCGATCAGCAACCCTGCTCCCCGCATACAACGCGCCCGACCAACCACTGATATGGCTCCGCTGAGAGCAGCGCTCGCCACTTGGGGGCTAACTATCGACGACCTGGATGTGGCCTCATTGCACGGCACCTCGACGCGCGGCAACGATCTCAATGAGCCCGAGGTGATCGAGACGCAAATGCGTCATTTAGGTCGCACTCCTGGCCGCCCTCTGTGGGCCATCTGCCAAAAGTCGGTGACAGGACACCCTAAAGCACCAGCGGCCGCATGGATGCTCAATGGATGCCTGCAAGTACTCGACTCGGGGCTGGTACCGGGTAACCGCAATCTGGACACGCTGGACGAGGCCCTGCGCAACGCGTCTCATCTCTGCTTCCCTACGCGCACCGTACAGCTACGTGAGGTCAAGGCATTTCTGCTGACCTCATTTGGCTTCGGACAGAAGGGGGGCCAGATCGTTGGCGTGGCCCCCAAGTACTTCTTTGCCACGCTCCTACGTCCCGAGGTTGAGGACTACTATCGTAAGGTGAGGGTTCGAACCGAGGTTGGTAATCGCGCCTACGCCGCGGCGATCATGTCGCAGGCGGTGGTGAAGATCCAGACGCAAAACCCGTACGACGAGTACGATGCCGCCCGCATTTTCCTCGATCCCTTGGCGCGTATCTCCCAGGATCCGTCGACGGGCGAGTATCGGTTTCATCCCGATGTCATACCCGCCCTCGACAACGATACTCTGCCATCCCCCGGCGAACCTGCCGAGCTAGTGAAGGGCATCTCCTCCGCCTGGATTGAGGAGCAAGTGCGACCGCATATATCTCCCGGTGGCACGGTGGGCGTGGACCTGGTTCCTCTTGCCTCCTTCGACGCATACGAGAACGCCACCTTTGTGGAGCGCAATTATACGGTGAGGGAGCGTGAGTGGGCCGAAAAGAGCGCGGATGTGCGCGCGGCCTATGCCAGCCGGTGGTGTGCAAAAGAGGCGGTGTTCAAATGTCTCCAGACACATTCACAAGGCGCCGGGGCAGCCATGAAAGAGATTGAGATCGAGCATAGTGCTAACGGCGCACCGAAAGTCAAGGTATGAGATGTTTGATCAATTGAGATCCATGCATCACTGACAGACAACAGCTCCGGGGTGCTGCACAAACAGCGGCGCGGCAGCGAGGATTGGAAGGAGTACAACTGAGTATCAGCTATGGCGACGACGCGGTGATAGCGGTGGCGCTGGGGCTGATGGCTGGTGCTTCATACTGACTGGGCATCGCCAGATTTGAACCTAATGATATCCCATAGACCTCGCGTATCGTACAGAGTATATAGTAGTAAAGGTTGATGAACTTGTGCGTCGAATGTTCCAGGAATCGATTCGAGTAATTGGCTGCTAGTAGTCAGGAATGGATCCAAGTGGCGTCAATCTGAGTCCGTACTTAACCGGTTATTGGTACCGCGTACGTAGTAATATTTGGATGGTGGAGAAGTTGTCGTGATGGGCGAATTGACGCTCAGGGCGTCGAAGTGGGGCGACGGTTACAGAGGGCGGTGTGGATACTGCCTGGCCCATTACTCTGGTTGGGTTAGTGGCCTTGGTGAGCCTGAGGCTGCTCTCCGCCCCTAACTACGAACTGGGATTAGTGTCTATGGTATACTCCTGGAGGGAGAGCGGAGATAGAAACCAAAGGGACAGCTCAAACCCCCCATGGCTTTGAATTGGCATGAACTGAACATACAATTTCAGGAAAGTGGTATGATTATACGATCGCGGAAACATATTGTTCAACGTTGCAGACTTTCGTATGCTACTACTTACTACTAGTACCGGTCGTATCTTTCGATTAATCGGCATTGTTACTGTAAATATATATATAGGTCAACCCTACCAAGTTGAAGTAGACGGGGTTCACCCCTTCGCAATGAGACAATACTGCTGATTTTGGGAGCTGTTCTTCAGGATGTAATTAACTGCACTACGAGTGTCTGTATCCCTCTCACCTAAGTTCTCTTGGTGTAGTCGTATCGTCTGTGAGTACACCTGTAGTTATTTTGCGGGGTGGAACGGGGGTGATGTGGGTGGCCAATATATTCAGGCACCAACCATTGGTACCTCGGCGTTCCTGTGGCCGGACGCGTTCGCTTTCTCCGGTTGGGTTTCATCGCCCCCTCTACACACATCGATATTTCCGTCACGGGTCCACAAAACAAACGTTGCCTTTCAATTTGATTTTATCTAACGAGAACCTAAACAGACGGAACGGAAGAGACCGAAAAGGTTATACACGACCCCATCGAGCCAAAGCCGCCGCGACACGAACACAGGACCCCATCGCGCCTTTCTGGACCAGCTCCACGTCAGCACGCTTCTGCTCGTCTCAGAAACATATGACCGCGCTTCGTCGCCACTAGTATCCTACCAAGAGAGTTGAGATCCATCCGTGTGGATAACGAAGTGTCCCGATGTAGTTTCCTTGGTCGCTTCGTCAATCTACCACCCCAACGTTAGCCCACGCAAAGAAGAAGGCAATGATCATACCCGAGCACAGATGCCTGCCACACTGTCTGCGACTGTTGTTGGGGCCTGCGGACGGCCCATCAGCCGCGCTCCTTGGTCCCCCATATCGGTTTGGACATGTCTAGCATGCTTCGGTTAGCGAATATACGTTGGCACAAAATATTCGAACGATGATTACCCTGGATCGATGATGAAGGCCGTGAGCCATTTGTTCTCAAAGTGGAACTTGCGCACCATGTAGTTGGCCGCCAGCTTCGACACTCCGTATGCCGTCAGTGGGGCCCGCGCGTAGTCGTGCATGTTGGTGATGGTGCTGATTGGGGCACCGATCAAGACAAACTTGGCCTGTTGCTTGGACTGCTGCAGCATCAGGCGGGTTGCCTGAAACAGGAGGACCGGAGCATACATGTTGACCATCATGTGCGCCTGGAGATGTTCGAGAGGCATGGTGGACGCGGGCCCAAAGTTCGTCGCCATGGCCGCATTGGCAACTACCACGTCCAAGTGCGTCACCCCGTGTTCCTCCCGCAGGGTTTGGACGGCTGTCTGGGCATCGGTTTCCGAGTTGCAGTCCAGCTGCACCACGATCATCCGACTGCCTTCGGCGATGGCTAGTGTCGAGAGCGCCGGCGTAGCGGTGGCGACGTTGCGCACGCAAGCGATCACGGTGCTCTTGGGACGTTGGAGAAAGGCTTGAATCAGACCTCGTCCGATGCCTGCGTGTTATGAGTAAGACCTCGTAGGACCTCTGATTCGATTGACTATACCTCGGCTGGCCCCGGTGACCAAATACACCGTCTCAGTCGGTCCATCCCGGCATGGCGTAGAGAGCCTCTCTTGATCGTGCTGGCTAAGTGATCCGTTCATTATGTTACGGCTTTGAAGAGTACTCAAGAAATGCTAAAGCCACTAAAGGACCCATGATAGTATCCCATTATATATGGCGGTTTGTTGGTCGCTGGCCGAGTTGGGCCGCTGGGTGGCAGGCATTTGATGGTATGCCAACGAATTCGATCCCCGTCCTGGCGACTTCCCCCAAAACGAAAAAGGAAAAGGCCTATCTGATGATATTGGCACATCTAGCACGCTAATTCCCAACTGAATACCAGAGATCTGCTTATGTCGACTTCGAGTAGCCTATGTGGTATCTACTCGCAGTGAAGTCACCAAGCAGTGACGGACGTGCGTGGCCACAACGAGTCTATTGCATGTTATTCATGTGGCAAGAAGTGCCACTTGATAGATCAGATCATGTCCGCTCGACTTATCAGTCGCTGACCGTTAGGGTCTTGCATTCGGTTGCGACTCACAAGTGACAAACGTTTGGGTCAGCCCGAATTTACTAGCTACAACCATAGATATCCGAGTACTACGGGCTAGTATCTCCCGTAGCTCTGCATGGTCAAGACCATCACCATCAGTACCGCATCATGCCACACACTCCCAGCATTCCCATCACCGAGCCGGCCAGTGGAAAGAGGGCTCGCACAGTATTGAGCCAATCCCACTTTTTTACCAATCTCACGCTCTCTAGCAAGCTAATCTCCACATCACCTTTCTCAAACTGATCCTCAGCGAGGAAGAGGGCTGTGTTCGTAGCGTTCATGAACATCCACGTGTAGGGCACCATGCTCACCGTCGTGACGGCGGCGACCATCCAGTGATGCCAAGGTTCACCGACAGAGTACTTGGCCCACGCCGCATATCCGTACAGGACCCCCGTCACAAAAGCGATTCCGGGGCCTTTACGATGGCCGCTGTAGAAAATACGGCTCCATTGGTGCACCAGCTGGGCCGGCTGCTGGGTGGTCTCGATAAGAGTGGGAATGGTGAGCAGGTGGAGGTTCATCATGGCTCCTGCATCTGATTAGCTGCTTCCCAATCCTTCAATGGATGTAGACACGGGGAGATACCCGTCAAAAAGGACCCCGTGAGGACGGCGACATATTCGGTGCCCATATTGTTTGTTCTGGTAAATATGCGGGTGAAAGAGGCGTGGACAGCTGACTCTCCATCTGCAGGGAGGAACACGTTCTTTATTTCTTCTTTTGCCCTCGTGTTTGCCTAAGATCGGTTAAGATCCCCTCAATGGTTCTGTGTCGGGTACGCGAGGGAGATTGGGGGTGGCAAAGCCCGTGTCGGAAAGCGAGCGAGACGCAGATGCATCGGAGAAAGGCAACGGAGATCCTGCGTATGCTGTCATGGAGATCATACAGGCTCTCCTTGCCTGGTGGATGTGTTGAAGCGCCCAGCCGGGGCCGGCTCAAGAAAAGTCTAATGCAATCACATCGGACGTGATTATAGGAGGTCTTCGTACACTCGAAATGGCTGCAGGCTCCTCTTGCTGACCCGAGAAACGGGGTGCTAGACGTGTAGCCCTCAGCTGAGTTTTCTTAGATGGCCACATGCTTCAATAAGACATACAACATGGGATCATTTTCGGGAAGTAAGACTGGTCCGCGGCTGTGTGGCCTCTTGGTAATCTGGACGGCAGGGCTGACGGCTCCGATACGACTCAGCTTATCGGTCAACGACGAAATATCTCCAAGTGTAGTTTCAACTACTGATATAGCACCATATAGCTCTTCGGGATGGACCTGCTTCCATCGAGTTTCAACAATCTCATACCCTATTCCACAATGGCTCAATCAAGGCAACTCTTTCTCTTCGGCGATCAGACGGCGGATTTTGTTCCCAAGCTCCGCAGTCTACTGTCCGTCCAGGACAGCCCTATCCTAGCCGCCTTTCTGGACCAATCCCACTATGTCCTGCGAGCCCAGATGGTGCAGAGCATGAACGTGGTTGATCACAAATTGGCTCGAACCGCAGACCTGCGCCAAATGGTGCAGAAGTATGTCGACGGCAAACTGACCCCGGCATTCCGAACCGCTCTAGTGTGCCTCTGCCAGTTGGGATGCTTCATCCGGTACGTTCTCTCTTTTTGTCCCACCTCAGATCGATTCCACCACTTTCATCTAAAGGTGCTACTAGGGAATACGAGGAATCTGGCAACAGGTACCCGCAGCCCAGTGACAGCTACGTGCTGGGGTTCTGCATGGGTTCCTTGGCCGCTGTGGCGGTAAGCTGCAGTCGTTCCCTGTCAGAGTTGCTGCCTATCGCTGTACAAACTGTGTTGATTGCCTTCCGCCTCGGTCTTTGCGCCCTAGAGATGCGGGATCGGGTGGACGGGTGTAGCGATGACCGAGGTGACCCTTGGTCTACCATTGTTTGGGGTCTGGATCCCCAGCAAGCTCGTGATCAAATTGAAGTGTTTTGTCAGTCCACTGTGAGTACTGCTATATCTTGCGGTATCCAGTAAAAGATACGTAATACTAACGATGCAATACAATAGAACGTACCTCAGACAAGACGCCCGTGGATCAGCTGCATCTCTAAGAATGCTATGACTCTAAGTGGCAGTCCATCCTCATTGAGGGCGCTCTGTGCGATGCCTGAGATGGCCCAGCACCGGACTACTCCAATTCCCATCTGTTTACCGGCCCACAATGGCGCCCTCTTCACACAGGCAGATATCACTGCTATACTAGACACGACGCCTACCACACCCTGGGAGCAACTGCCCGGCCAAATACCATATATTTCCCATGTGACGGGTAATGTAGTCCAGTCTACCAACTACCGGGACCTTATGGTGGTGGCTCTGTCTGAGACTCTCCTGGAGCAAGTGCGACTCGACCTGGTTGAGACTGGACTGCCACGCCTTTTGCAATCTCGTCAGGTTAAGAGCGTCATCCTGGTACCTTTTTTGACTCGCATGAATGAGACCTTGAGCAACATTCTCCGAGACAGCTTTATCACTACTGAGACGAGAACTGACACCGGACGAGCTATCCCCGCTTCAGGTCGATCAGGCGCAAGCAAGTGCAAGCTGGCCATTGTGTCCATGTCGGGGAGGTTTCCTGAATCACCGACCACAGAAAGCTTTTGGGACCTTCTTTACGAAGGGCTGGATGTTTGTAAGGAGGTTCCCCGTCGACGGTGGGACATCAACACGCATGTTGATCCTAGCGGGAAAGCACGAAACAAAGGGGCTACCAAATGGGGCTGCTGGCTGGATTTCTCAGGCGATTTTGATCCCCGATTCTTTGGTATCTCACCCAAAGAGGCGCCGCAGATGGATCCAGCCCAGCGCATGGCCTTGATGTCTACTTACGAGGCAATGGAGCGGGCTGGTTTGGTCCCCGACACCACGCCGTCGACCCAGCGAGACCGCATAGGGGTCTTCCACGGAGTCACCAGTAACGACTGGATGGAGACCAATACGGCCCAGAATATTGACACGTACTTCATCACCGGTGGAAATCGGGGCTTCATTCCCGGACGCATTAACTTCTGTTTCGAATTTGCTGGACCCAGCTATACCAATGACACAGCCTGTTCCTCCAGTTTAGCTGCCATCCATCTGGCCTGCAACTCTCTCTGGCGGGGCGACTGTGACACGGCGGTGGCAGGAGGAACTAACATGATCTATACTCCTGATGGTCACACAGGATTGGACAAAGGGTTCTTTCTTTCCCGGACTGGCAACTGCAAACCGTACGATGACAATGCCGATGGTTACTGCCGAGCTGAGGGAGTTGGGACGGTATTCATCAAACGGCTGGAAGATGCCTTGGAAGATAACGATCCCATTCTCGGCGTTATTCTCGATGCCAAAACCAATCACTCAGCCATGTCGGAGTCGATGACTCGGCCGCACGTGGGCGCCCAGATCGATAACATGACGGCGGTGCTGAATACCACTGGACTCCACCCCGCTGACTTTAGCTACATTGAGATGCATGGCACAGGCACTCAGGTAGGGGATGCGGTGGAGATGGAGTCCGTCCTATCGGTGTTTGCGCCGTCCGAAACTGCCAGAAAGGCGGATCAGCCACTATTTGTCGGCTCAGCCAAGGCCAACGTTGGACATGGAGAGGGAGTGTCTGGGGTTACGAGCCTTATTAAGGTTCTGATGATGATGCAGCACGATACCATACCCCCACATTGCGGCATCAAACCGGGCAGCAAAATCAACCGCAATTTCCCTGATCTCGGGGCTCGCAACGTGCACATTGCTTTTGAACCTAAGCCCTGGCCACGCACACACATACCCCGCAGGGTGCTTATCAACAACTTCAGTGCAGCAGGAGGGAATACTGCCTTGATAGTGGAGGACGCCCCGGAGCGTCACTGGCCGACAGAGAAGGATCCACGCTCTAGTCATATCGTCGTCCTGTCTGCGCATGTGGGGGCTTCCATGAAAACCAACCTGGAACGACTGCATCGGTATCTCCTGAAAAACCCCCACATTGATATCGCGCAGCTCTCATATACCACCACTGCACGTCGATGGCATTATCTACACCGAGTGAGCATCACTGGCGCATCTGTGGAAGAGATGACTCGCAAGCTAGAGATGGCCATACAGAATGGGGATGGAGTCAGTCGACCAAAAAGCAAGCCGAAAATTCTCTTTGCTTTCACGGGACAAGGGTCCCAATATGCAACAATGGGTAAGCAGCTGTACGATGCGTATCCAGCATTCAGAGAGGACCTGGAGAAGTTTGATCGCTTGGCGCAAAGTCATGGCTTCCCTAGCTTTCTTCACGTCTGTACTTCGCCTACCGGGGACGTGGAAGAAATGGCTCCCGTTGTGGTGCAACTGGCTATCGTTTGCCTTCAATTGGCCCTGACTAATCTCATAACTTCCTTCGGGATCCATGCCGATGCGACAGTGGGGCATAGTTTGGGGGAATTTGCAAGCCTGTACGCGGCAGGGGTTCTTTCCGCCTCAGACGTGGTTTACCTTGTTGGTAAAAGAGCAGAGCTTCTCCAGGAGCGGTGCCAACGCGGTACCCATGCTATGCTAGCAGTGAAGGCTACTCCTGAAGCGTTGTCTCAATGGACCCGACATCATGACTGCGAGGTGGCCTGTATTAATGGACCTGAAGATACCGTCCTCAGTGGTACCATCAAGAATATTGGTGAGATTCAACGCGCCGTGACGGACAACAGGATCAAATGCACGCTGTTGAAACTGCCGTTTGCCTTCCATTCTACCCAGGTACAACCTATTCTGGACGACTTTGAGGCCCTGGCTCAGGGAGCAACATTTGCTAAGCCCCGACTACCAATTCTCTCTCCCTTGCTGCGGACAGAGATCCGCGAACAAGGCGTCGTGACTCCATCATATGTCGCGCAACATTGTCGTCACACCGTCGATATGGCCCAAGCTTTGAGATCTGCTCGAGAAAAGGGACTCATCGACAATAAAACCCTCGTCATTGAGCTGGGGCCGAAGCCATTAATCTCGGGCATGGTGAAAATGACGCTGGGAGAGCAGATAACCACCTTACCCACTCTAGCACCTAACCAGGCCATTTGGCCCAACCTGCAGAAGATTCTCACCTCAGTGTACACGGGTGGATGGGATATTAATTGGAAGAAATATCACGCGCCTTTCGCCTCCTCCCAGAAGCTGGTGGATCTGCCGAGCTACGGTTGGGATTTGAAGGATTACTACATCCCGTATCAGGGTGACTGGTGTCTGCATCGCCACCAGCAGGATTGCAAGTGCGCCACTCCTGGTCACGAAATTAAAACGGCCGACTACCAAGTTCCTCCTGAGTCGAAGCCTGACCGTCCATCCAAGCTGGACCCTGGCAAACAGGCCTTTCCCGAAATACAGACCACCACGACACTCCATCGAGTGGTGGAGGAGACGACTAAACCTTTGGGGGCTACCTTAGTCGTGGAGACAGACCTATCTCGGAAGGATGTTAACGGCCTCGCTCAAGGGCACCTTGTTGATGGGATCCCTTTGTGTACCCCTTCCTTTTATGCTGACATCGCCATGCAAGTAGGCCAATACAGTATGCAACGGCTCCGTGCAGGACATTCGGTGGCCGGTGCTATAGATGGCCTTGTGGACGTGTCCGACATGGTGGTAGACAAAGCGTTGATCCCTCATGGGAAAGGACCTCAATTGCTGCGCACGACGCTTACCATGGAGTGGCCGCCCAAGGCTGCTGCTACTACACGAAGCGCCAAAGTCAAATTCGCCACCTATTTTGTACGTTGTCTCCACGCTTCTTATAAGCGTAATGTAATACTAATTTATCTAGGCCGATGGGAAGCTCGATACGGAGCATGCGAGCTGTACCGTTAGATTCACAACCGATGCACAATTGAAATCTCTGCGCCGGTCTGTGTCTGAGTACAAGACCCACATCCGCCAGTTACGTGATGGCCATGCCAAGGGGCAGTTCATGCGATACAATCGGAAGACCGGGTATAAGCTCATGAGCAGCATGGCTCGGTTCAATGCCGACTACATGCTCTTGGATCATCTGGTGCTGAACGAGGCAGAGAACGAGGCAGCAAGTTGTGTAGACTTCTCCTTGGGATCGTCGGAAGGCACCTTTGCAGCTCACCCAGCTCACGTCGATGCCATCACCCAGGTGGCCGGTTTTGCTATGAATGCTAACGACAATGTTGACATCGAGAAACAGGTCTACGTCAATCACGGGTGGGATTCGTTCCAGATCTACCAGCCGCTCCATAATAGCAAGTCTTACGATGTCTACACCAAGATGAGCCAAGCGAAGGAGAATGATCTGGTGCATGGCGATGTGGTGGTTCTGGACGGAGACCAAGTGGTCGCTTTCTTTCGCGGCCTTTCGGTAAGCCTTCGAATGAGAGTAGACCCGATGAAGAGACTCGTATACTGACTGATGTTTAGCTACGATGCGTTCCCCGTGGGGCACTGCGTGTCATCCTGCAGTCTACAGTGAAAAAAGCCGATCGCCAACTAGGGTTAAAGACAACGCCGCCGCCGCCGACGATGCCAATATCGCCTTCCAAACCAGCTCCTACTCAGGTTTCCGGCCAACCTGTTCCACCAGAGGCCACTCATCCCCACACCCCGCCACAGCCAAAGCATTCCCCGGCACCGGAAACTACTGGAAGCGCTCCAGCGGCAAAAGGGGTAGATGTCAGTAATGAAAAGCTAGATGCTATAATGCGAGTTGTTTCGGAGGAGAGTGGAATTGCCCTCGAGGAGCTCACTGATGACAGCAACTTTGCTGACATGGGCATTGATTCTTTGAGTTCAATGGTCATTGGGAGCCGCTTCAGAGAGGACCTGGGGCTGGACCTGGGTCCTGAGTTTTCTCTTTTCATTGATTGCACTACCGTGCGTGCCTTGAAGGACTTCATGTTGGGGAGCGAGAATGCTGGCAGTGGCTCCAATGTAGAAGATTCTCCGTCAGCTACTCCCAGCACCAACCACGAAACGGATTGGTCTAGCAGTGCATCCGACACTATTTCCTCCAGCGAAGATCACGGTCATTCGAGTGAGTCCGGTGCCGACACTGGAAGTCCGCCTTCACTTGATCTGAAGCCCTACTGCCGCCCCTCAACTTCTGTCGTCCTACAAGGTCTACCCATGGTGGCGCGGAAAACTCTGTTTATGCTCCCTGATGGCGGAGGATCAGCTTTTTCTTACGCCTCCTTGCCGCGCCTCAAATCAGATACCGCTGTAGTGGGCCTGAATTGCCCTTATGCTCGGGACCCCGAGAACATGAACTGCACACATGGAGCTATGATTGAGAGCTTTTGCAATGAGATCCGGCGGCGACAGCCGCAGGGTCCTTATCACTTGGGCGGCTGGTCATCCGGTGGTGCATTTGCTTACGTCGTGGCCGAGGCACTTGTGAACCAGGGGGAGGAGGTCCATTCTTTAATCATTATTGATGCGCCTATTCCCCAAGCCATGGAACAACTCCCCCGAGCCTTTTACGAGCATTGCAACAGCATTGGATTGTTCGCTACCCAGCCCGGGGCTAGTCCGGACGGCTTGACTGAGCCTCCGCCCTACTTAATCCCCCACTTTACCGCTGTGGTGGATGTGATGCTGGATTATAAGTTGGCCCCGTTGCGTGCGCGCCGGATGCCCAAAGTCGGCATCGTCTGGGCGGCAGATACAGTCATGGACGAGCGGGATACTCCCAAGATGAAAGGAATGCATTTCATGATCCAAAAGCGGACTGAATTTGGCCCCGATGGGTGGGACACGGTCATGCCCGGGGCCTCGTTTGATATTGTCCGAGCGGACGGTGCTAATCATTTTACGTTGATGGTAGGTTGTGCTTTGACTATGATTGAACGGACCTGAATGCTAACACCTCAATAGCAGAAGGAACATGTCTATAAAATTAGCGATCTGATCGACCGAGTCATGGCCTAGCAAACTCCACTTCGGTGGGTGACGCGCATAGTTACAACTATGATGGGTGCTGGAGGAGGGAGGAAGGAGGGCCGTGTTTTTCATTTGTTCCCGCGTTTAGAAAAAACGAGATTGTGGTTTACGAACTTGTTTCAAAGGGCTCATTGTGTATATTGATTCGAACTACATATATAGGTACTTTTACGATGATATCATATACACCTTTTCACACAATTCGTACCCCATTCATCCTTAGTCTTAGAAGCTATGATAGCCAAAGTGTATCTCTTGTTGATCACAATCTGAAGTGGTAGGCGTAACTAGTGTTAATGACGAGCTGAATCTATATGGACGTAGGGAGGTTTTCTTTCCCTTGAGCAAACAGTCCCGAATGGAGATACACTGATCGGACGGATACGTTCCACGCTCCAAGCCTCCAAATGTCTAAGTTCTCTGGCATCCAAGGGCACCTGGTGGGTACTAACCATGGGACAAGCGCTGGTTTGCTTGTTTAAATGTAGGACTGGAACCTCCAGTCCCGTTTCGCTTGAAGCAGGATGCCTCAGAGCCTCTTGTTGTGCTAACGTGTGTTGGGGATCTCCGTGTTAGCGCTACATTATTTCATTTCTTTTTTGAAGAGTGCCAATTAACGGCAACAACATCCAGATCACAGCCGTCTGGTATTTCGTTCAACCTACTGTTCGGCGCGTTGGTCGCAGACATTGGAGTTCGGGGATCGTTTCGGACAGCGAAAGCGGGTTTCGGACAGCGTAGAACATAGTCACAAAACATTGTTCGGAAATTATAACTCCGGATGACAATGCTGGTTCCAGAGAAGATTAGATCGGAAACGACAAGGAAAGTAATGGGAAACCAAAGCGCAGGCATTCAATGTGTACAGAGGTTGAGGGGAGGTTTCACGAAAGTACTCATAGAAAACGCATGGCTGAGGTGCTGTTGTTATGCGGATATGCCCATGAACAACCGTTTGCTGTAGAAGTGGGCTTTTGCACCGCCAATGTGAGGGACTGACTATCGTTCAACCTAATCTGCCTGGCTGCATGATCCACCAGTTCTCGTGTCCAAATTAGAATTTGTAGTAAGTTCTGAATCGGAAGGTCTGTATTTTCATAGTAATGTTGTGCTGTATTTATGTTTGAAATGCCTTGCTCTGTTTGTATGAAGGCATGTAGTGCCGGCGTCGATAGTTCGATCGCAAGATAACACATCGCGATACGAGATTTTATCGAGCATCTTAGTAGGGGCTCTGCGCCCAATGAAATAAGCCGAAGTTGATTAAATTGAAACGATTGAGGGATTACTAGTAGTCCGAACATGCCAATGGAGGCATATCCTCCCATATGTATCGTTGTAAGTAGCGCTACGAATATATTACATGAGCGTCCCATAGAGTCATGACCCAAAGTGCGAGTACAACATACGCTGGTAGATGACGTTTATTAGACAATTGTGGAGATTAAAAAGAAGGGACCCGCGGTTGAACGAGGTAACGCCGAAGCCGTTTGACAAGAATTAAAAAGAAATAAACATCGTTCCTTTTCCTGGCCGGTTCGGGGTCCTCGCGCTCCCTTACAGGAAGGGAGATGAGAACGGGTTTCCGATGATCTGGAACGTGAACTTATGTGCACAAATGTTGAATAATGCGGGAACCATAACGAAAGAAAGAAGAAGAAGAGAAAGAAGAAGGAGAAAGAAACCCTAAAAGCGGAACCCTAGATACGGGTCATAAAGTTAGCCAGGTGCTATCGAACGTTACCTCTTCTGCTTGACATTTCTCCATTCGATCCCTACGGCGCCGAAAATGCTGAGACAGCTGCAGATAAGGGCCACTTGAAAGACGTCCACCAGTGCGGCGTTATAGGCCACCAGCACCTGGTCCATGTACTCGGGCTGGACCAGATGGCGAAACCCGGTGGCACCGGCACCCGCGACTGCCTCTGGGTCGAGACCTGGCAGTTGCAAGTTCGCGAGGTTGTCCGCTAGGTGGGTGCTGAAGATGTTTTGCGCTACCGAGGTAAAGAGGGCACCGCCCAACATCTGCACAAACCAGATTAGTGCGGTTCCGATGGGGACTTGAGCCATGGGAAGGACGGCCTGAACGGCCACGGCCCCCTGCTGGAAGCCGAAGCCGACCCCTATGCCGTAGAGGAAGAGAAAGCCGATCCATTTGGATTGGGCAATATCCACGGTGAAGAGGGTAAGGCAGCCGGCACCAATCGACATGATCACACTACTGACGATGAACCAGGGGGCGTAGTGGCCTGTCTTGTTTGTCACAGCGCCAGAGATGATGGCGCCGGTGGTATTGGCCAGAATCAAGGCAATGGAATCAATGCCGGCCTGCACGGGTGATTGGTTGCGAATGGCTTGGAACTATTGGACATGCATTAGCACCATCGTCGCGCGGTGGGGCACATGGCACGGGGAATGGACTAAGGAGAGGCAGGTTACCCAGATCGGCACATAGTAGATCATAACAAACATGGAGGCGCCGATGAAGAAGACGAAAACGGAGGCGCACGCTACGGATCGCTGGGAGGCTACTTTGATCGGCACTGGCGGTGGTGAGCGAGGCTTATAGGACGGAGGGAAACCAAGGAAGGATGACATACCGGTGGCGTTATCCTTCATAAGGACCTGAATGATGATAAACGTAATTAGGAGCACACCGAAGAGAACAAACAGCGCGATAATGCGTCCATTCGACCAAGCGTAGTCTACCCCACCCCACTGGAGCGCAAGGAGAACGCAGATTATGGCAGGGGTGAAGACGATCGTGCCTAACGGATCTAAGCCTTTCACCATCTCCCAGGCACCATGCGTGCGTAAGTCCGCCGATTTGGGGATCCGAAGCAGAAACAAGATAACCACAGCGGTAACCCCTCCGATTGGAAGATTGATGTAGAAGCACCATCGCCAGGTCACTTCATTAGTGAAGGCGCCCCCCAACTGCAATTCACAAGGATCGGTTAATGGTGCCCGTCACTGTTGCCGGATGCATCAACGGTGACTTACCAGCGGGCCTGCCACCGACGCAATCCCGTACATCCCTCCCAAGATCCCCATATAAACCGGTCGCTTGGCCAAGGGTACAATATGCGCGATGGTGACCAGAGCACCTGTGAAGATCCCCGAGCTCCCCACTCCCGCGATAGCACGGCCAACGATGAGCACCACGGACGACGGTGCGACCCCGCAGATCAGAGAGCCCACCTCGAATATAAACAGGGCGACAAGAAAGACCCATTTGGTGCTGAAGAGGGCATACAACTTGCCATATAGCAATTGGAAGGCTGTCCTCCCCGGGGTGTCAGCGGAAGGGCAATTCGAGGTTGGGCAAAAGAGTCGTCTCGCGCGGACTTACCACACGTAGTCAGTAGATAGGCGGACGCATACCATCCAATATCATTCAACCGGTGGAATTCATCCGTGATTCGAGGGATGGCAACGGATAGGATCTGCACCACAATGGTCATCAGCTCAATAGCGGCCATGCCAGGGCAGACGAAGAAGAGCGCGCGGGGAACGAACGGTATTATCAAGAGCCACGCAGAACACGGCGAGCAATAGACTTAGCACAATGAGATACAGCTTCATGCCGGAGATGTGACTACTCGCCTCGGGAGACTCGTCGATTAGGATGTCACGGTCGTTAGATGTCCGTGCCTCCCCATCACCCGTGGGGATGCGCTCGGGGTCGAGCGCTGTCTCCTTATTGCCGTGCATACTCGGACCGGCTGGACAACGGTGCCGGGTGGAGAGAAGAGCCTGGCGTTGTTGTTTTGAGACAGGGGGTCAAGGACATACGGGAGGCACAGGAGAAAATAACAACACAACGATGATGAGGAGGAAGATGGAAAGGAGACAGAAAGACAGAAAGACAGAAAGAAAGGAAGAGAGAAGAAAGAACAAAGCAAACAAACCAGAGTGTTTGTGTGGATTGTTCTTGGTTGCATTCCTTGCTTTTCGGGCGCCAATCGACCACATCCCTGCAGCAAGGCCACGTGAGGCTATGGTCCCATTCGACCTCTTTGTCTCATTGTTGACATCCTGCCACGATTCTGGTCTGGCGCCCGACTTCCTGCAGATCTCGCTGGGAATGGAGTTGGCAGATGGATTGCATGCCACACGCCCCGCATTCCAGAACGATGACTACACTGGCGAATAACATACGCACACGGCAACGGCAGATCTACAACCGTCCCCGGGAGATCGGCTGAGAAGATAATCGCAGGGCATCTACATTCTTCGAACTACCGTGTCTAATTAGGGTGACATTTCTGCGGTGCTCTGGGTACCTCTGGGTACCTCTGGGTCACTCGATCCGCATCTGCTTGTCTGTGCCCTCCCGCTTAATCCGCCAATCCAGTCACCTTGGCCCGGACAGTGAAGGGTCCCTTTTCCGGTGCAGCGAAGCCGAGATCGCGCTTCATCTGCAACTGCTCGATTGTTGTCTGGTAGGGGACCAGGTCGAAGCGTCTCGCGACGGTGGCGATGGCTAGATAGATTTCTGCTAGAGCGAAACTAACCAGTCATGTCCCAATATTAGAAGACCCTCTTCATGAACCATCCCCACCCACAGGAGCGACTTACTTGATGCCGAGGCAATGTCGACTGCCTTTGCTAAAGACAATCATATACTGATGCAAGTTGTGCCCCTCGCGGGCGGCCTGCACCCAGCGATCCGGGTTGAAATCTTCGGGATGCGGGAAGATCGAGGGGTCCATGCATACGAAATAGGCACTTTGACTGATCGGAGTCTAAGGACGAATAGAGAAGTCAGCCAGTGTTGTGCTTGAATTCTCTGGGGATGCAAAGAGAGGGGACAGACTGACGCCGGGGGGGATAACAAGGTCTTTGTATACCAGAGGATCGTTGGGGTAAACGCGTGCAGACCGAATGATGAAGCCAAAGGACATCCGAAGGCTTTCATTGACAACGCCGGCCTATGAACCACAGGTGTCAGGATGTGCGTCGGATAAGGGGGGGACCAACGAGAACAAACCAAGAATGGCAACTGTTCCAATTGTGTCCAGGAAGCCGTGCTGTCAGGAAACGGCATCACAGTCCGAAGCTCGTCGCGCAGTTGGAGCAGCAGGGACGGCTTATTTGCCAAGTGGAACACCCCCACCGCCAGGGCCCGGGCCGTTGTCTCCGTGCCCCCGGCAATGATGTTCAGTGTCTCCATCTGCAGTCGCGTGGCCGTTTTCTCCTCCTCCGGTACGTCGGCGGTGGCCATCGCCTGAAGCAGCGTCTTCCGATCTCCCATCGTGCCGTTGTTCTTAGAGTCCAGGATCTCGCCTACCCGCCGTTCAGACAAAGTCCACAGGTGGAGGAATTCGCCAGCGGGGACCAGACAGGCGGGAAGATACCGGGCCAGCTTCAACAGACACCCGAAGACGAGCAATACGGGGATCCAGCGACCCACGCTGTCCATGCCCGCAAGAAAGTCGTTTTTGAAGTCCGGCTCCGTGAGATGGTTCAAGTTTGTTCCGTACACATAATGCGTCGTGAGGTCGGAGGTCAACGCTGCAAACACATATTTGAGATCTAAGACGGTGTCGTGGCGATATGCCTCCGTGAGTCGGGAGGCCAGGAGGTTCACTTTACTTTGAATGACATGCTCAAGGCCCATGACGTATTGCTTCGAAAAGAAGGACTTGATGATTCGTCGTCGCAGCCGATGGTGATGGTGCTTGATGGTGGTGACCGTAACCTCTGGGAAAAGAGAGACTGCTGGGAATCCGGGATCTTTGTCCTGCTTTTTAGCCCCGCCAGCATAAATCCGATGGTAATAGTGCGAGTCTTGGATATGCACTTCGTTGGGATTGAATCGAATAACGGGTCCTAGCGGGAAAGAGGTGGCTAGTTAGCTGTAAGAGTCGGTGAGCGCCAAGGGCCAACTCACCGTACTTGCGATGCAACTCGTCCAGCTTCCAGATGTACTTCCCGCCCTGCACAGCATCATAGTAATGTTGATACAAGTGCGTGATAGCGGCTATTTTCGGCCCCGGAATCTTTCTGAGAGGGTGAAAAAAGACACGGTAAACGCTTCGCAGAATCAAGGCCACTAACAAGCCGATGAGCGCGGTGGAGACGGTGTTGGATACCATGATATGTAATGTTGGTCAAAAAAGACCGTTTGATTCGTGCCGGACACATGTATCCACTCCTCCTTATAAGGGCCCTGTACCATTGCACTCCGCGTACCCCATGTTTGGGGTGGGGTTATTGAAACTGACCAGCCCTTGTCACTTTCCTGGAGCGATCCCGACCCTTCGGTGGCCGAAGGTGCTAGAGGGTCACTGACTTTGATCAAGTACAGATTGGCAGCGAAGCAAAAGGTACATCGATCTGATCCCCAAAGCCACCCCAAAGCCATCCACGAATCCACACAATGTCCACCTCAGCTCCCCTCAGTCGCTACCGACAGCTCTCCCCAACCGCGTCAATTCGCGTCTCTCCGCTCTGCCTCGGGGCTATGACCTTTGGTGTGTCAGACGGAGAGATGTTTGGCGAATGCAGCAAGGAGACGGCCTTTGCTATCCTAGATCACTTCTACCACCAAGGCGGCAATTTCATCGACACGGCGAATGGATATCGGGCTGGGGAATCAGAGATGTGGCTAGGCGAATGGTTGGCGTCCCGCAAGAACCGTGATGACATTGTCCTAGCCACCAAATATGCGGCAGGTTATCGGGGCCACGAAAAAGACCGCATTCAGGTGAACTACGGAGGAACGGGGACGAAGTCAATGCGTCTTTCGGTGGACGCGTCTCTACAAAAGCTTCAGACGAGCTATATTGATCTCCTCTACGTGCATTTGTGGGACTACACGGTTTCGATCCCAGAATTGATGCACGCCCTGAACGACCTGGTCGCATCGGGGAAAGTCCACTATCTCGGGATTAGTGATACCCCTGCTTGGGTGGTGTCCAAGGCAAACCAATACGCCCGGGACCACGGATTACGACAGTTTGTTGTCTACCAGGGGTTGTGGAACGCGGCGAATCGTGATTTTGAACGGGATATTCTCCCCATGTGTCGCGATGAGGGAATGGGCCTTTGCCCTTATGGAGTTCTGAACCAAGGTCGATTCCGGACTGAGGAAGAATTCCGGGAGCGTGACCAGACGAACAATGCCGGGGGACGAAATATGGTCCCACTGTCAGAACACGATCGCAATGTCTCCAGGGTGTTGGAGATAGTTGCCGCCTCTAAGGGTGTGCCGCTGTTGCAAGTGGCGCTGGCGTATGTGGTGCGGAAAGCCCCATATGTGTTCCCCATTGTTGGAGTCCGCAAGGTCGAGCATCTCATGGGCGTGGAGCCCGCCATTCACATTTCACTGACAGATGCAGAGGTGAGCGCAATCGAGAATGCATATGAATTCGATCCTGGATTTCCGCATACCTTTCTCAGTGGTTCGATGTTTGCTCGGGGGACGCCGAAGGGTGGGTATGCTCCTGGTGATGTTTGTTGGACCAAGATGCTGGGCACTTTTGACTGGGTTGAGGGAGCGAAGCCCATTCGTCCTCAACCATAACCTGTTGCAATACCACGATCCAGGAGATGTTTAAATGAAGAATCGGTGTTTTCCTGAACAATATGAATTGCTTGCCCTGTCACTAACAACACGATTGATATCCCGGTATGAGTTGGCAGTCGTTGAGATCATCGGTGTCTTTGTCATAAGAGAGAGAGGGATTCCAAGAGACAAGGCCTATCATGTCCAATGTAGCACGAATAGGTCAATTAAACTAGTCACCTCTGCCAAAGGGATTCTGTTTCATGTATTACCATCGTTAATGTCCACCTCGACGTAACACGAGTTGGTTCTTTCTGTATTCCGCACCTAGGCCTTATCAGTGAGTGAGTATCAGGGTATCTGTTCCTTGGAGGCTCGATTGGTCATGGGCAATGCCTTAATCCTGCTCTGCCTGGTTTAGCCACTCAACTAGTTTGGCACCACTCGAGATGGAGCTGTGCAGACTATTTAGGCTGTTTTGAACCCGCGGAGTGCCAAGAATGTGGAGTTCTCCGGTTATTGTTTTATTGTTCCATTTAATACATCCGCTGTACCCACGAGTTAAGGGTCTCGGAATGCTGAGTGTTTTGCCTTGTGTGATCTTCAAAATTTACTACTGATTCTACTCAATCCATATAGGTGTTCGTGGGAAGTGTTCTGTATAGGGGGTTCGGTACTGCCGGATCTACCCGCCGGACGTTAATGACTACTACTCCTGCTGCATAGGGGTAATCAACATTGTCACCTTCATGGCCTGGATCTTTAGCCTAATAAGGATAAATGGTGACTGTGGAGTATAAGGAGGGGATTGAAATGTTGGTTAGGACAACAGCTTGCAGGTCTTATCTCGAATGGAAACAGTCATTTGATGCTATACTCAGCTTTCACGGAGCACATTTGACTTCAACGTTTTATAGCCATCTCACCTGCATCCCTTTGGATACATCACCATGTCAGGGCGTAGGGGAAACATTCTAATGTCACCTGGCAGTGTTTTTGCGAGTTCTTTCCTGCTGCTTCTTGGAGGACCCTTTACCTGCGCGGGGTTTGCTAGAGCGGACAATCCAATCGTCCAGAACATCTATACAACAGATCCGGCACCGATTGTTCACGATGGCCGTGTCTTTGTTTTTACCGGACATGATGAGGATAACTCAACGTGGTATACTATGCTGAATTGGCGTCTGTTCTCATCAGCAGATATGGTTAATTGGCAGCACCATGGCTCGCCGATGAGCCTAAACACATTTGCCTGGGCAGATGCAGACGCATGGGCCGGACAAGTAATTGCTCGGAATGACAAGTTTTACTTTTATGCACCGGTTCGCCATCGTGCAACTGCCACCAAAGCCATCGGGGTTGGCGTCAGTGATAATATCACTGGCCCGTACACCGATGCATTGGGACATCCTCTGGTCGAAAATGGAGCGATCGACCCTACAGTATATATTGACGATGATGGTCAGGCCTATATGTACTGGGGAAACCCTGGTCTGTGGTATGTCAAGTTGAACGAGGATATGATCTCCTATAGCGGAAGTGTCACTCCAGTCGACCTCACGGTTGACGGATTCGGCAGTCCAAATGAGGGTTCCGGCGAGGAGACTTCATTTGACGAGGCGCCCTGGACTTATAAGCGCGACGACATTTACTATATGATCTTTGCTGGCAACTGCTGTCCCGAGAATATTCGATACTCGACTGGTACTAGCATCACTGGACCCTGGACATATCAAGGGGTCATCATGCCGACACAGGGTGCTAGTTTCACAAATCACCCTGGAATTGTCGATTTTGCTGACAGATCATATTTCTTCTATCACAATGGGGCCCTTCCCAGTGGCTCCGGCTATACCAGATCCGTGGCTGTCGAGGAATTCACCTACAATTCAGACGGTACGATACCTGAAATCAACATGACTGAAGATGGCCCGGCACAGGTTGGGAATTTGGACCCATATTCCCGCCAGGAAGCGGAGACAATTGCTTGGTCCGATGGCATCGATGTGGAAAGTTCCAATGACGGTGGCATCCATGTCGCATATATCAACAATGGCGATTATATCAAAGTCAAAGGCGTTGCATTTGGTGACGGGGCCTCCAGCTTTGCTGCTGGAGTAGCATCGGCAGGCAATGGTGGACATATCGATCTGCGCTTGGACAGCAAGGATGGCACGGCCATCGGGGCCTGTTCTGTTCCCATCACAGGAGGGTGGCAGGCGTGGGAGACTGTGAATTGCTCGATTAGCGATGCTACATCCACTCACGACCTGTTCTTTGTTTTCACTGGCGATAGTACTGAATATTTATTCAATTTCGATTGGTGGCAGTTTAGCTGATGTCCATTTGCTGACATTGGCTTGATTCTTTCAGCCACCATAGCAGAACAGTTGCGGCATCGCAAGTCTCTTACCACTTGGGGATATGCAGACCATGAGGGGTAAAGGGCAATCGGTTCCGTTTTCTATCGGGATAACCATGTAGATAGTCTATCCACAATCAATCTACTTGGTAGTAGACTGATATTTCTGGCCTGTCATCCTAGACCTGATAGCTAAATCAGGGTGTACAGTATCTATATACTGTTGACCAGAATTTGACACATATCCACCGGTTCTGATGAGTGTGCGACTAGATCCTCAATATCCATTCGCGCAATGACTGCGGCCTTATCGAAACTCACAGATTCAGATCGAGCGCGAAGGAAGAAGGACTCGGTGTGGACCAGACAGTCGAATCATTCATTGCTATGGGCATGGGGGTGGCCGCTTGCATTTGGGACCAGCAAGGCGTGCCTGGAGGTGATGGAGGGTGTAGTGATGAAGCACTCTTCTCGTCTTTACTCTATTAGGGGCAGGCCAGCGGATCAAGGACCACTTCTAATAAGGTGAGTAGAGTTGGTCGGATTGACCTGGAACACACTAAAAATATATACTGAACGGGTTCCACACGCAGATAATCAACCAAGCAACGCAGAGATATATAATTTGACCCTTCATATTGCTTCATACCCTCGTTAATCATCCACCTCATTATGACTTATAAAATTCATCTTCAGCTTCAAAACATATAGATCATGTCAGGAGAAGAGTGTGACTGTTGTGTTAGGCATGTACTTAGATCAATGCTCTTGCTGTGACCCTCAGTTGTCTCTTTGAGCCCTTTAGTGCTTTCTTCGAGATTGTTGACCCTTTTTTGCAGCTCCTTGTGTTTATATTTCCACTTTTCGAAATCTTCCTCTGTAACCACAGGTTTGACCGTCTATGTAGTTAGATGAGCGTGTTAGGAATACACATAAGAGCACGTACTGGAAGTAGCTGTTGAAACAAAACCGGACTGAGAAACCGCCCTACTCGGTCTGGGTCAATAGCTACTGATGGACCGTTTGAGACGGCGTCGACCTATTCATAGAAGTCAATCGATAAGCAGGTCAGGTTGAGGCATGATCTCTACCTCTTGGACGATGCGAATCATTTGCAAACGGCTGCGGCGACAGGCTCTCTCAAGACTAGTTATAGTTGCATCATACGCCGTTTGTGGTAGTGCATCCATCAGCTTCTTTTCATTGTTGTCCTTCGTCAGGCCCTTAACCTCTTCTACCGTCGCCTTAATAAATGCAGAGATAGATGCTGCATTCGATCGTTTCTGTAACGATTTGGATTCTTTAGCGAGATCCTCACTCACTGCTTGTGGGTAGCTCGATGAACAGGCTTCACAATGTATGCTTTGCTTACTTGATTGGATCGTTCTCCAAACACTCTTATACTTGAGGTAGCTTTCCGGCATGGAGTTTGTGTAAACGCCTGCGTTTTCGTAGTCCAATGCACTCCCCTTGTTAGACAGGAGCTGGTAAGAGCGTAACGCTGAGTATTTGGTCAAAATAGCACTGGGAGATTTAGCAATAACTCTGAAAGCCCACCACAGCCAACCTTACTGGTTCTCGGAGGAGAGGTGCGGACATTGTCTGGGAATGCAAAGGCTGCTATCGCCATGCTGTCGATTGCCCAGCCCGCTGCTTTGTCATCTCGGATCTCACCACCTCCAGACCATGAAACTCTAGTTTTGTCAGTGGATTTGCATATAACGATGAGTGGTATACAGACGTGATAGATGTTTCTGAGTCCTTGATCAACTCTGCTTTATCGTATTCTCCTTTGGCCTCTCCCGAGATACCAAATCCCGCCTTTTCAAGACTCAACGATAGTTCACCCTTTATTTCTGTTTTCTTGTCTTTATCGGCTAGTTTGACCCATAATAATGCGCTAAATTCTCCTCCTTCCAAGAAACCCGAAATGAAGCTATCCCCGTAATCTCAGTGAACTTCTTTTGATCGGTGACGGAGACGTTGGGAATAATATTGAACTTGGTAACGTCATCTGTGACCAGCTGCTGATTGACCACCTTGACTTGGACAAAGAAGTTAAGATCACTTTCCTTGACCTTTGAGGCACCGATATAGGCTAGACTAGTTAGCAGTGGCCATAGCTTTGGGGGGAATTGCCTTACATCCGGACCCCTTAACGCCGAATCCGCCATACTTGATTTTAAGGGCGCCTAGAAAAGATCAGTATGAGTCCACCCAATGGATTACGAGAGAACGAACTGCTAATATTCATCGCCTCCCTAACTTCGCTCGCGTGTTCTACAAACTTGGAGGTGAAAGTGACCTGCTGGCTGATCTTCGATCCCTTCGGCAATTTGGGCGATAGCTCCTTTTCAGTCGCCGAAGTCTTGTTGTCTCTAACTACAGCATCGTTCACACATAGTTGCTGGGTGTAGGAGTTCAACCGGCTTGCGTTAGCCTGCATCTCCATCGGCCACTGAACCCGAAGACGGCACATCTCAATCTGTTGTTTGGAAGACGAGCCTGGTTGACAAGACGTCTGACATTGCCGATGCATTGGATGTATGCTACTGAACCGGAATATTGAGTAGTTTCAATTCAATTGCTGACGAAGCAAGGTGAGCAGAGTCCTCACGATTAAATATAACGGCTTGATCGATAGAACGGGCAGAGGCGCGTTCATCAATTCGAATAAGATGAAGGATGCCGACATCAATTTTCTCGTCAGCGTCAAAGTGATCAACCAAACAGTGACAGACAACTCTCTCACAAAGTTCGACCCAATTCCGAAGCTTGACACGACGGATGCAGTCAAGTTTACTCGGATTTACGGTGACTCGTTCATATCTGGTAAGCGTGGTGATTCCAGTTGAAATCAATGCTCCTAACAGAAGGTAGGTTTCCAGGAAGGTGGGGAGTTCCATGCCCTCGTATCTATCAAGGTTAGAAATAATCAAAGCAGAGTACGTTCATTGAATACCATCGTAGGAATATCAGCTAAACCTGGTACAGTGCAGCCGTTGCTTTGACTACTCTGACCTTTGGGAGCAAGACGGTCAAAGACAGCTCAAAGAAGGGTTCTACCAAAGCTCAGGGAAAGTCGGGATCACAGGCCAAGAGCTCTTCGAAAGTGGACGAGGAGGGCCAAAAGGTTAAACCTGATGGCGATGATGAGGATATCGGCGGGGGTGATGGCGGAGGCAGCGATCAAAAAAAAAAAAAAAAAACAGTCAGAACGACGAGGAGGAGAATAATAATGATGACACAGAGAGCGGCAGCGATGAGGACGACCCGAAAAGACTTGGCTAGAAAGCTGAGAAGGAGGACAAAGGACTGACGATCCAAGGAAATGCCCAGGTGAAAGAAGAGCGACGAGTCATATTCAAACAAAATGAGACAACCATCTCCGTTACATGGTCCAGAGAGGGTCAAAATCTCAAGGATCGTAAGTACAACCATTGACCTCCGACCTCAACTAACGGAGAATAGCGGAGGGCGACTGGAATATTGAGAACCTACGAAAGGCAGCTTTGCGATTCCCATCACTAGTTGCTAAAACCCCCGTCTGCACTCACGCTGTTTTGACCAAATATTCGTCTCTCCGGAGTTACCATGTGGCGACAATTGGTAGTGATAACAAGACTGGGTCTCCTCTGACTTACGAAAATGCCGAAGTATACACCTCCATTCTACAGGATGCATTCATGGACTATAAGAGCCTGTACAGGCGTATTCGTATCCTCGAGCAGAACGTTGATGCTGGCGTTAAGAAGCTAGCGAAAAGCAAACTTGAAGGTATAGTGATGGGAAGTTGTTGTAAATAATGCAAAGATGGACTAATTCAACAAAGGGGTATCCACATATCAACCAAAACCGCAAGGGGGCGCCAAAAAGGGACCCTCATTTGTTTCCAAACCATATGAACCGACTCTGATGGCATTAGAAGAGGCCCGGACGATGATATTGATATCTACAAACTACATCATTAAAGAGGTGAGATTGATTAAGAGCGAGTGGTACCGTTTCTCTAGATAACCGATCTCCAGATCGACAAAATCATCGCGAAGCCAGAGCAGGCTGTTGCAGAGCCCCCCACACCGCTACCTTGCCAATATCCATTGATTTTCAAACAATAGTTGCCAGTAGGCTTATATCCTTCCTGGTGCGTGGACGAAATGCTAATATCAATAGATTGGTGTGCCCGTCGACTGGTCTGAAAGCGAGTGAAAGTGAAATAGATGACAACCGACAGTCGACCCAGCATGTATACAATATCTTTAAATGCAATTCAACCTGGCTTATTGATAGCTACCATGTAGTCCCGAACTTGACTATATGGCATGAGAGTAATCTCAGCCACCAGTCCCGAAGCACAGAGCTTGCGGCACATATCCAAATCCACCACTTCTCCCCTGTTAAACCACATTTTTTCATCTCGTCTCTTACACGAAATTCCAAATCACCAGCAAGCTTGAGGTAATCCTGGGCTACCCCTTGGGGAGGCTTGTCAAGCGACTGGTCGGAGGCATTCGACCCCGTCAGAGTATCGTATGCGGTGATGTGGAATTCAGACCAATATTTGAAATATTTGCTTTCGGTGTGATAGTTCTTCTCAATATCCCACCAGAGAATATACAGTTTGGCATTGATATCGAGGCTTTCAATTTGCTCCAATGAACTAGTGGCAGAAGAGAGGGGCACACCTGCACCGGTCCCTAACTTCAAATTATCCACGTAGTAATCGCCATATATTTTCGAATAGTAGGAAGGATCATGGCATGACCGTCGGGTATCCGCCAATGCATCCAGCGAGAAGCGAGGCCCATCCACATAAATGGTTCCTGTTCGAATTGTTGCGTGAAGAGAGGCCTTCACGTTCTGTTCTCCCGCACTAGGATCGGAGTGATTCCAAAGTGAGACAAAATAGCACCATCGTTGTTCAAAGCATCCTTATTGTACGTTCCACTGACACTACCATTGGCAAAACTGCACCCAGCACTAACCATACCCGAAACACTCAGATGTTCATGCGAACTCTTCGAGTCTGATGTGATAGCTTTATGGAACGTACACTGTGCGCCTGAGTCATTTCGAAAAAAAAATACCCTCTCATCCAGTGTCCGTTGTGAGAACGCGTTTGTTGTTCTGAATGGGGCTATCGCATCGTCGCTTTCGAGCCTCGAAGAATGACATCCCCCTGTCAAAGTTGCAATTAGCTCATTGTCGGGGCTGTTAGCCCAGGGCAAGCTAATTTCTGCCCCGCCAACAGATGCTAGATTGAGAGAGGGCAGGGTCGGATCTTCGGCGAAGATATCTTCGATATTCTGTCCGTTGATGATCGAAGGCATTTTGTGGTGTTGAAAGAAAACGCGCCTTGGACAGTGACGGCTTGAAATGCAAGGCAGATTGGGTTTTATATATTCCGTCTGGTCGTCTGGAGTGGAGTAATTGACCTTATTGGGTCTTTCTTCGCTGATCGTACAGCTGAAGGTTTGAGCGTTGAGCAATATTACTGGTTAAATATGACTCGCATTTTGCAATACAAACTTTCTATAACTTCGTACTAAGATGTGATCCTTCAGGCTTTTATTGAGAACGATCGCAAATCATAGTCTATGATCGAAATTATGGCTTTCGATATTGAGATTCTTTCCAATACCATTTTTGATACAGGTGTCACGAAAGTCACACGGGAATTCGAGTGGTCGGCACAAGACTAGCCAGCCTACTCTCTAGAGGATTCGTAAGAGCTGCAGATACCTACGATAGATCCGTACGTGCAGGCAACCTTGAGAAAGACGACCGAGACTAAACCGAAAACACACCAGCACACCATAAGAATCCGAGTATTTCGCCCCTCGGTCTTGCCTTTGCTCCAATTATCATAACGCCACATACACCCCATCGAGAGCAGCGCCACGTTTCGGCCAAGTAGAGAACCAATGAGCGAAAAAAGACCATAAAAGATTGGCCCAGCACTAGCCACAAGGGAGGCGACAGCAGCAATGCCACCAATACTGCCTAGCCAGGCTACGCTGTGTTTCAATGTGTTCTGGCTGGGGTGTTTAGTTCCCCTGAGGAGGCGAATAAAAACATACCTTGCAGGTAACTATAATCCCATGAGCCTAATGACATTAAGAGTTGGACTGGGAGCGCTTGCATGGGCGACTATGGTTTTGGTAACTATCAATCCGAGAAGCGCAAAGCTACAGCAAATCCTTTTGACAATTAGCTGAGCGGAACCAAGGGCAGGTAAGGCAACATGAGATGCGCAAGAATAATAGCCTACACAGCCGATTGTATAGGGCAAATATATAGCACCAAACCAAACATAGAGTTGACCGGGTACACTGCGGCAATATCCTTAATATCCATTGGCGCGTACTACTTTGATTTAATAGTTTCAGCACATTAGCCGGACTATCTAGATCTCTTGCTATATTAACTGGACAAATTAATGCAAATGAGGGTTACGTAGGTAACTTGAAAAAGCATGGGGAGGTCTAGACAAGTTGGGTAGATATAAGAACCACTTGATAACAGGTTGAGTAAACCCCAAACATCTCTAACAATCGTTCTTACGGACAATCACATTCCAGTTGTCTGCATAGAAAGCCTGTCCACCAACATAAGAGCCAAGCTGCCCCTCCTCCCACTGATAGCACCAGTGGAGGAGTTTTTCCGCACCGTTAGCAATTTCGGCGAACGAGTCCAGCGTTTTGGACTCAGTGTTCTAAATCTCATTAGCGCTTGTCCTCGTCAACAATGTCATGATCAATTCACGTACATCATTGCACCACCAAATCGCTGCGTTGTAAGAACAACTAACTCGGCCACAATTGCCCGGGCCTGGTCCATTTACAGGCTTGCCGGGGACGCCCTGAAGGTACTCAATGCCTCGGCTAATGGCGGCAGACGATGCAGGAGTGAAGGGGTCGCCACAGTGGTAGCCTGTAGGATCTGCCCTCTTCATCAGAGATTGCTTTGCTTTCCCTCGGGCTCGGATTTGTGCTTCAGCACTGGAGTTTTGCTTTGAAAGCTCAGCGACAACATCTTCGACGGTGCCTTTGACATTGATGGGATCGTTAGACTCTGCAAGTTGAACGCTCCATTCCAGATCCTCGACGCCATATCCTGGAGGGCCTTGTGTGGAGCTTTCGACTGGACCCTAGCAGCCGGTCAGTTAGAATTTCACGGTTCCATGGAGATGAAGACTTACAGCTGCCGCCGAACAAGCAAGGAGTACTGCGATCAATCCGGTGTACTTCATATTGAAAAGAGAATTGGAGTCAAACAATTGCCGTTAGAGCAATAGCTTCTTGATTTCTGCTCAAAGAAAAGGGAATAGAAGATGCAAACTCATTTCCTTTTATCTCTTCCCTGGCCCCCACGCCATAGAACTCTTTCGGATTCAGATGCTTACAAGCATTAATAACCATTGAGAGTGGGCTATGTCTTTCACCTAGCTGTGCCCCCCTCTCCACGCATTGGAATGAAACTGATTATTCTATTTCAGGCTCATTCTACAACTGTGGGTGCACTGGCGGAGTCAATTGGTGGGTTTACCGGAACATTCCCTAGTATTCAGTAAATTGATTAAAGTGGGATCCGTTTGTTGCTTAGCTGAAGGATGTGCATCTATGCATATACGCACCAAGTAGTGGATATTGAGATCCCAACTCGCAGACTTAGCTTCTTGGCATTCGCAGATCCGTTAATATGCAACCGCAGCAAACGTGAAGAATCTCGAGTCTTGTCCTGCAAGGTATACTGCTCTCTCGATGTTGTATAGTTCATTACTGCGAATATATTATTTAAGTATAAAATTGAAAGAGGCACTGCAAGGGCGGCCTAGATAACCATGCGTATTAACTGATCATCGTTCTATTCAAACTGTTCCCCACCAAGAGCTGGTTGGTTCGTGGGGCGGATGCTATTAGCTTAGGGGCGGAAACCATATGCAGGGAAGATGCGAGATGTCAATGTAACATAATTGTCACGGCCCCCAACAATTCGTGCATTGGTCCATCGGAGTCAAGAGGTGCCCCTACCCTGGCTCAAGAACATGGACGTGCTCCGGCATAGAGCTTAAGCATCCAAACGTGCTTATTGAATTTTAAGAATGGGCGTTCCGCTGTATCATGATTGGCTTGGTTCACGCTATGAATTGTACATACATATGTAGGGCTCTGCTCGCACAGTGCCGCAATAAAAGCAGATGAGCAATGTAAATGATCACAATCGGAAAGGAATCCTTCTGTCCAGCCTTTGCTGAACTTTGCGCTATTCGGTAGAAAACGCATTCTCTCATGCCGGGCAAGTTGACAGTTGCCTGGGAATGGCTCCATTCGGAACCATAATGCTATAGAGACGTAGCTTTGTTGTGTTGGGTTGGAAACTTAGGTTGTTACTACATGGACTTCCAATAGTTCCGGTGTCTGCCTTGATCAATCCTAGCTACACCATATCCCAACATTCTACAGAAAGATGATTGGTGAGTCTGCCGATATTTCAAATCTGCCTTTTTGCCCCTATTTCACATTGTCCGTTCTGGAACTAGCGGAATAGATAATTGGACCCTTTAGAACTCCGCAACAATCCCCGATTCCTCTTAGTAGGACTCGGAGTTATCGTTCTTTCTTCTCCCGACACTATTACTATATCAAGTCACTCATACGATCCACTGATTCCTTCAAGTTGCATATACGCCGTTTTCGCCCCAATATGTGATATTATCAATGACTATGGATGCATACGGCCACAGGGCTCGGGATTCATTGACTCAACTAACCGACATGCGGATCTGTTTCCTGCCAAAATGTTCTCTTTGAAGCTCGGTCGAAGCCTGAGTTCGATAAGTATAAAAGTCGGATGATTGTCTCGCTTCCTTGTTGATACTTCGGGTTCAACAACCTTCAAGTTAACCAAATCTCCAGTACTTCACCATGCGTCCCACCTTTGCCATTGTCATCGCCGCCTTGTTCTCTCTTGGGGTACTTAGCCCCTGCCTTGACATAGTTTCGAGTCCAACCTGACTGACCTTCCTCTTTAGGCTCAAGCCCTGGAGGCTCCAATTGAGGGTTACGGTGTTGAAGACTTTGAATGGGAGGTAGAATCTTCACCCGGTAACAAGCTCCGCGTCCGAGGAACAATCGAAGAAGTGGCCAACCATGTCCGTTCCATCAATCCCAACTACAAACAGGAGATCAGTAAGCGCGACGATAAGGGCTCCTTGACTGGCTCCCTGGAGCAGCGCTACGACAAGGAGAGTATAATCTGCTACCCGAATGGATGGGGCGCTGCAGATGGAAACAAGGTTCAGGAGGGAGTTGAATACCTCAAAAATGACGTTGCTGGCAAGCCTACAAATGGGCCCGGACCTGGAAACTGTGGCCGAGTGAGTTGCAGTTACAACAATGCTATTTGGTGGTGCAATGATAACGTCAGTGTCCCCTTGGCCGTTTATAACAGGTAGGCTACTAACAATAAGCTAACTGATTTTTCTTCGTGTAGACCGAAAGCAAAACTTTGGACTCTTTCCGAGAAATCGGTCTTGCTGCTGAGGAAATCTGCAACAAGTGTTGGATGTCTGCTGTTAGTAGTGATTCAGGATTCGAGAATCTTTGTGCTGGTCAGATGTTCATGAAGGACAAGTGGAATGTGATTGTACGTGATGCGAAGTGTTAGTTTGTCCATGTCTCTAGACTTGGGATCAAGACTAGGGTGTGAAATAGAGCTCAAGCGTATGTTGGGTGAAAAGGGATATACTGGCTCAAAGCTGTATGCCTACGAGTACGGACTCAGAATGGCCAGGTTTTGGAGTGATGTGTGAGATGCCATAGAGGCCAACACTATCTGGCCATGGGAATACCTACCTTGCAGATAGATAGATGAGTAAATGGAAGGAATCCAGAAAACGCACTGAAAACTCCGGAGGCATCCAGGAAATTGGAGCACAACATAATTATGGAAACTTTGAATGGTGCCTCGATCATGGTCTTAAAAGAAGTATGGGGGACGAAGATTGATACAACGCACTAGTCGGGCGTGTAGGAGCGAGCAATATCTCTATCTGTAAAATTCACTACCTAAACCTAGCCTTTGCAAATAGAGTGCAGGTACAGTCCCTTCGAACTAGTTATCACACCTAGATTAGCAATACTTGCACAAGTTGTGACCCCCTACCCTTCTTTTGATTCTTAAAATATGTTCAGCTCGAAATAGTTTGTAAAAAAGATTTGGAGTTTACTCTCGAGGTAATCAGTGTTGAAAGGCTTTTCAAGTTCACCAGACTGGCTTATATTCGAAAGGCGTCAGTTGGTAATAATTTATAGAGCAAGTCAACTTGACTGTTGTATATTCCTCGTTCTATAGCATGCCGTGAACGCTGGATATGCTACCATTTACTGTGCGATAAAACCATCAATGAACCTGGTAATCTGCTCCGCCAAAGCCTGAGGCTGGCTCACAAATGGCATGTGTCCGGTCTTAAAGTCCACAACTTCCCATTCGACGTTGGACTTCTCCAGCCACATATCTTGCAACGATGAAGGGTTACAACAGTCATCCAGTGTACGCACATACGCTCTCCTACCATCAAACGCACTCTCCGCCCAGGCTGGGGCAGTGGCGGGTGTTTCAAAGGCTCGGAGTGCGTGTGGCTGCATTAACTTATCCAACTCCGGCTCGAGGGCACGGTCGCAGTCATTGTACAAAATGTCCATCGCCGGTTCGATGACAGCAAGTCCCTGAGATGGCTGGGAACAAAATTATTAATACCCTATAGTTATAATGGCGGTTTTCCCGGGTAGACTGTACCTTGTCGACTTTGATAAAAGGAGGGTAAGCGCCGCCTACAGCAGTGAAGAGAGATTCTCCATCAAGTGTAATATTGCCCGCCACGTAAATAAGGCCGATGACGCCAGTAGATTGACCTTGGGCTCTTCTGGTTCCCTTCCCAAGTTCTGTTGCCGCGCCACCTGCAACAACGCCCCCGTATGAGTGTGCAATGACGACGACATCTTTACCGTGTTCGTTCAAAAGAGGGAGCAATACGTTGTTGCGCAAGAAAGCGATATCCTGATGAGAGGACATGTTGCCCGGATCAGAGGGATTGCAACTAGGGTATGATCCTGGGTGTGTTGCGTATCCGGCTTTGGTCAGATACGGTAACAATTTGTCGAAGCCTTGAGGGGTGCCGAAGGCCCCTGGAACGATAACGATCACCGGGAGGTTCGCGGAAGACATAGTGAAGAGGACTCTGACTTGAAAGCAGATTGCGAATTTGCGACTTTGTGATGCTGAATAGTATTGCTGAGAAGAAAAACGTTGAGAAGTCTGCGTTGCTACCAGGACCCAGGGGAAAGCTAGAGAGGGCGGAGCGGCGGATTTACTATTTGTCATAGTTTCATTAACTAACTAATCTTGTCAATTTTCAATCTAACTATCCCTGCAGACTTCCCATATAGGCTGGGTGTTACAACCAGTCCTTCGAAATCAGCTGCGTGTCAGATTACCACATGACGCAATCACAATCAACTGCATGCCAGGTTGCAACGCCTACCTGCAAGTAAACCTAAAAGGACATGCTATACGGAACCAGGGTATTAGTATATGTAAACACCTAGGTAGTAGATATACGTAAGTGGTAATTCGTGAAGTACGCGTCTTAGCGAAGGAGCAATATCATTGTCCCCCTCCTCTTTGCTTTGGAACGTTATACACGGTCCCCACATCTGATACAGATGAATGGAAATGACCCCAGTCACCGATTCTAAATTTAAACAATATTTAAATATATATCGATAACTCGCTGATAGATATTCTATATTATTTTATATTATTTTTAATTCTTTTCTACTGATATTCTCCAAGACTACTAGGACTCCCTTGGATACAATATTTTCAAGAGTCTTTGTTACTGTAAGATATCGCCAGGGCCGATATTCCATAAGACTAAAAGGTCGGAATCATTCGGGATCAACGATCTTGAATGCCCTGGGGTGACTTATATAGCCCGCCGTTACAGCTACTATTCTTATAAACTATACAATTCTAATGTAAAAATCACATACTACTAACACAGACAAGGCTCATCGGCCCCGCCCGGTTGGACGACATAGCTAAGATCATTTGTTGGGAAAGAATAGCCAGGGAAAGGAAGAAAAGAAATAAGAATAGCAATAGAAGGATTTACGAACTACGCTCATGCACCCCTTAGCCTCAAGCGGAAGTGACGTTCAGGGGAACGAGGAGGTAGCTGTCGTACTGGCCGCCCAGGTAGAAGTTGTGGATGCCGTTGTTACGGGAGCTGGGGGTCTCGACGCGCATGGTAGCGACTTTTGGGGGTATAATGAGAGGTGCCGCCAACATTATTTGATGGCGGTGTTCAGGGCGGGATCGAAGGTTTCTTCGGTGGCGGCAACGGTCAGGCGCGGGTGCTCGCCAGGATAAAAGCGCATGGCCATGGGCGAGATGCCGATCTCGACGAGGACAACTTCGTCATTAAGCAGCAGCTGTTCGCGGTCAAAGGTGTAATAAGGCTCAGCGGGGGTCGACTTGGCCTTGTCCAGCTGACGGGCGGAGACACGCAAGTAGCCGGTGGCAGAGATGGTGCTCGAGGTCTCGCCAACGCTGCTGATGTTGTAGACATTACCGCTCGCATCGGTTTTCTGCACAGTGATGGCCAGTTCCATATCGTCAGATCCCAGCCCCTGGACCCACAGGCGGAGGTTCATGTAGCCTATGAGCTGGGTCACCTCGGTGATGGGGAACAACCAGTTCAGCTCAGGGGAGGTGCTATTCACCCCGGTAGCCAACCCGTGAAGCAGTGGTAGGGTATTGGGAGGAGAGTGACCCATTCGGATGGAGATAGAGGCAGGTGTTCTGCATCCCCGACAGGGGCCACTCGCTCTCTGGGCGGTTGAGCTCATCCCCGTGGCCAGGATCGAGGATCGCGAGGCGAATGCGCGGGGTGGACTCCCAACCATTGACCTTGTCCTTGAGGTAGTGATCGAAGAAGCGGTTCAGGTCCTCCATGTGCTGGGCTCGATAGTAATCGTACCACTCGGAGGTGTTGTGAACGCGCAGCCACTACTCCTTGCTGCTGATGTCGCGGAAGCCCTTGAAGGAGCCGTGGGTATGGACAGCATTAGTGTAACTGGCAACGACGTACGCGGGAAGGGTGATATTGTCCAGCTGGGCCATCTTGTCCTCCCAGTAGATGTTCATTAGCTGATTGTTGAGGGTCATGCGGGGCACATCTTCGATGTAATTGGGGCCCGAAAAAGTGGTGATAATCTCCTCGTTGAAGGCAGCGACGGCGATGCCTCCGCGGTTGCTGGAGTCACGGTACATGTCCGTCAGAGCCTCCCAAGGGGCGATAGCCGACAGGTGCGGCGGCTTCTGCGCGGCGATGAACCACTGTGAGATGGCCAGCCACGAGTTCCCCGACATGCCAATCTCGCCCGAGCACCAGTCCTGCTCGGCCGCCCACTCGACGAAGTCGTATCCATCCTCTGCTAGCTGACGGCCCCAGAAGGTCGTGTTCCCCTCGGAGCTGTCCGCACCCCTCGCATCGGGATTGAGCACCGCGTAGCCTTGCTGGACCCAGTAGGCCGGGTCGGGACCCCCGAACTTCTGAAGTTCGGACACGGCGCCAAGTGGGACTCCATCACGGTCCGTGATATCGTCGAGCCACTGGCCGCCCACCTCCTTACCATAGGGACTCCAAGCCACGATTGCGGGCAGTGTCTCGTCGCCGACCGGACGGTAGATGTCCGTGTACATGGTAACATTGTCGCGAAGCTTGACGGGGACGTCTCGATGGAACAGGATGTCGGTGGTTAAGGGGCGGGCGCCATGGCGACGAATGGTCCCGTTCTTAAGGATCTCGGTGGTTTGATTGAAGCCCGGGTACCTAGCATGCGCAGCAGTGACGTTCATGGCGCGACGAAAGACCACAGGGGCTACATCATCGCCGTAGATGGGCATCGAGCCGCTGGCAATGTCGGCAGCATTCGAGTTGCTGGCACCAGCCAGGCGAATGCCGCCCACTGCGGCCAAGCTGAGTGTAATGGCTACCTTCATCATATCAGATTCGCCTGGTTTAAAAGAAAGGGGTTTGAGAGTAATAAGATCTGCGATGAGGTTGTTATATTCCGTTTGGAATGAAGAACAGGAGCTGGGTACTTATAGCCAACCAGCCGCTCAGTGCTTCACCGCGAATTGCCATCGGACTATGACAATTCCTCACGATAGTTGATCTTATTTTTTCATTCTTGGTTCCGTGGTTGGCGGTCATGGGAGTGCCGGCGCTGGACAAGGAACTAACTGGGCTCGGAACCTATGAACAGAATCTGGCGAAGTTTACGTCGATGTTTAGGCAGTTGGGATAGTTTCGGCTGTATTTACAACGGCATGCAGTTGAGCCGTGGCTCATTTCAAGTTAAGATTACGAGGGGATGCAAGCTATGAGCGGCTCCACGAACATGACTTGGAAAGTTCACCATTCAATTATATTCACACATTTTATACATGTTCATAGCCTACCTGTACATGTACATATAAGCAAGTGCGAAGAGATATGGCAATGTCTCAGTATAGTACAGCAAGTGGATTTGGTGTCGCCGGCTTCACTTCCCATCCCACTCCTAAGCTGCCTTGGCCTCGCGAGCATCGTGCCATCCGCTCCACTATAAAAAGAAGTCACAAAGGCAGATCGTACCCGGCAAGAATGGGTCCCTAGAAGAGTTGCTCAATGCTCCTGGTAAGGGAACAAAACCAGGAGAAGACAAACAGGAGACGAAGCAGCCCGAATGTTAAATTGCAAGGATAATGATGGGCCTCCGTTATTCCCGAGCTGACGGGTTTCTTGCACATCGGTACAGCGACGCGCAAGCCTGAGAAAGGAAAACAATTAGTGGGGTGCGACCATGGGTGCAGACTTCGATGGAGGGAGATATGGACAGAGTTCGTTTTCTGGGGGCCAGTTCCGATGGTGATCAGGAGATGGATATCCCCGAGTAAGACTCGTCTGTAGACGAAAACTGAAGGAGGTGGCGTAGTTCTTCTGTGGGGAACGGATTTATCTTGCGTCAAGGTGGACCGCATGTGGAGAGACTCGCGGCAGGAGCATTTGGCCGTGGAAGAAAAGTGCACGGATGCAGTCACATTTTATCCGCGGAGAAACTCACAGGACAGGCACATACCGTCCCTAAACCGTTCTGCTTGTACTTGGAGAGTAGTCCCCTATATCTACCGGCTGGCTAGGAGTTCTGGCAGTGGCATTTGCAGGGCGTCCACTACCCAGGGCTTGCAAAGCTACCACTAGAAGTGTCTATCCAGGTGACGTACGCAGCGAAAGCAAAAGGTGGAGATGTAAAGATTGGTGTGTTGTATGGGGTGTCATGGTTGCTTGCTACCTGAGGCTATTTCAGAGCATTTCGCATCTACGGCCTTCTCGTTGGGGTCTTAGTCAAAGTGGATATAACATGGTTAGTTTGAGCGGCAATGAATATAAAACTGAAAGAAATGTTTAAAGAAAAATATACAGTACCTAACTCGGAGTCATAATTCTAGTATTTGTGTTTTTCTTGTTTTCATTTCATCTTTTTACATCTACCAAGGTGTGACTGCACGCATAAATAAAGAGTTCTCGTGCAAAGGACAACTTGGAGAGCACCAAATCTTTCGAAATTCTGCCAGCTCTCTACAAATAATGGCAGATGCTGGAAAGCAAGCACGTTCTGATCCTAATTCTGAAGCGCATCTCAAGCGTTTGTGAGATGAAATCAGAAATCCAAGATGCATTTTAGTATATGATGTCTGTCTGAAATAATGCGACTTTGCATCCCTTTGATTATGCACTTGTCGACGCCAGTTCTTCTATTAATTAATATTATCTTACAATATTTTTGGCCCCAAACCACTAGTATGTCACAATGTGCGGGCTATAGTTTATACATACGATGTGTGTTACTATCCCTTGTAGGCAAGTTGTTGTCCCCCAAATTGGATAAGAGAGAAACAATTAAATTGCTAATCCTGCCACTATTTAAGAGAAAATGAAATATCAAACGCATGGTAGCTCCTAGCAATGTCTGAATGCAAGAAGCTTATTTACCAGGTATTTCACGACGGATACACTGACAATAACACGGGATAAACACAGTCCATGGAACGCAAGGCATACCCCTCGGATACTAAATGGACATCCATAGGTATAACAATACGTAGGATACTTATCCCCAAGACGGACAAACTGTTCCTTTTGTGGACGGTTTTCCATCCCTGTCAGGATCTTCTCAGGATGTCCGCCTTTGACGTTACTCTTCCATTTCACTATCAGAATCCGGACCGCAATGAGAACCATCCCAATGAGAATCAGAACTCGATTAAATCCTCCAGGCTCAGAACGCTCCGAAAGCCGTAACTTGACGTCGTCTCTGTGCTATTTGCCGCCTTTTGCTGCCCTAGTACCTCTATCTTCTGGCTTGCCAGTGGGGTAATGGGAACGCGGCCCGATTTCTTGCCCGTGCGGTGGTTGGTCTTAAGTCTAGTACGTCGGCATCGATAATTAGAGTGGTACGGTTTAACCGGAAACCCGGCCCCGAACCGGCTCCCGGTTTGAGTCGGGTCCTAGATCTAGGAACCGCTCCGGGTTTTGGGTTCTAGAGCTAAAATCCGTCCCAAACCTGGAAACGCGAGTGGGTTGGAACGGGGTGGATTTTCTAGTTCGAATATACCGTATACCCGAAGAAACCGCTCGCTTATTTTAAGCGAAACCTTAAATTTCTAATTGTATTTAAATATATATAGTATACATTTATATATATATTTTAAAAAATAGATAGATATCTATAAAAATAGGTTAAAAATTTAATGTATTAGATTTGAATTAAATATATATATATTTTAGATTATGCATATATATGTATATAGGGGGCTGGGTTCTAGATCTAGAACCTGAACCCGACCCGACTACCACTCTAAGCAGTCTAGCTATGTGTTACAGACCCTTGTCTAGCGCACGTTATCGAAGGCGGACACACAAGGCAGAATAACGATAGGATAACGACGGCCGGTTCCAGCGCGGCTGGTACGAAATGAATCGTTTATCTAGTAGTTATTCAGAAGAAACCACGGGAGCCAGTACCAGCAACATCACGTAATGTCTATTCCAGGACCTACCCTAGAGAAAGTATACCGGGAGTATACGACTCTATATACTATAATTGGATACACTTTATTATCTACCTCTTAAGGGAGTTATGATAAAAGTAGATAGTTAAAGATAAATAAGAACACTTATATATTTAGTTTAGTTCTTCGTAATCAATTCCAAATTGTTACTACAAAGTTATATTTAGCAGAATAACTAGTCTTAACTTATTTGTACTCTTCTAACTATTAAATATACATACTTAATGGGCCTGGCTATTTAAATTCGAGTCTAGTATCGACGGCAGTCTTATGTCGACTGTATCCCTGTAACAACGGTAACCTAGTGTTGACAGCAGTTCTATACCGACGGGCGTCTTCCTAAGACCGCAACCCATCGACGATGGAAGTCAAAAGACGACTTCAGGTTAGTAACCCTCGGAACGTGGTCCGCTAACTGGTCTCAGACTTGACGAAGAAGCCCCGGGCGTAACACTATGCTCGGTTAGCGCCGCGAACGTCAATCATTGCTGTTTATTTATGGGTTTGAAGAGAACCAATGAAGCATTGGAAAGGTGACTAAGGGCTGATAAATTGTTTACTTTTGTACTAAGAAAATACAGATAAACTGCGGAAGTGATCATGTGCTGATGACGATGATTTCGAAATCGAAAATCCTGTGTGTAGTTGGATTCTACCAAAACTCAAGTGACAATAAAGTCGGACCATGTTATCGTCAGTTCCCTATATACTAGTGCGCGGTCTATCGAACCCTCGTTGTACCCTACCAATGACCATTATATTAGACACAGCTATTCTCAACTTACTTCTGCATATTCACAGTATAAAGTAACGTATTTTTACTTTCAATTTCTTCGCAGCTTCATCCTTTCACATTGATCTATGCAGGATCCATAATCGTCGTAGACGAACATACACTAAACACGTTATCCATTATTGATCCACTAGCGTAGAAAATGGCCTAACTGTAAGATACAACTTCCTACTCACTGCAGTCTGGATATTTGGACCGCATATGTTCAAGAATCAAATCAGTAAGCCCCCCAAGGGTCCCAGCTTTCGCGATGGCCACAGTCGAAATACTGATAACTAGTTTCCTTCGACAGTAGTTACTGATCTCCATGCACATAAGTGAATCTATCGCCACATGAGAGATCGCATCGTCGGATGTATCGGGTGAACAAGCTTGGTAGGTCATGAAAAGCTTGGCTAGCTCACTGAGTATTGTGTTCCTAGTCTCAACCTTGTCAAGATTATCGGGACATTGCTGAATAGATGCCATCAGGTCACGTAAGGCTTCTCCAGTACCGGTCTCCTCATAATTAACCGAATATTGGTGATTAGTATAGGCGCTGAACCGAGCATCCCGCCCCCAGATTGGCTCAATACCGGAACCCCGCACTGGCTTAAGATATTCCATCCCGATCGCTAGTACGCTGCATGTCAGCGGCCCCGTAGGAAGGCTCAGTGGGTCGCGCGAGCGGCTGATGGCTACTTGCAGCAAGTCTAGCACCTCTCTCTCCTGCAGCAGGCGGAGAGATGATGCACGGGCCCGATCTAGGACCTTTTGGTTTTCGGTAGCGCATCCGATCTCCTCTACGATACCAAGGTTCAAAACCGAGGCTGGGAGCCCACGACCTCGCCGATGTTGGACAAGGGAATCGAGATATGTGTTCGCAGAAGCATAGTTAGCCTGACCAGCATTACCGCAAAGCCCGGAGATGCTGCTAAATACAACGAAAAACTCTATATCAAGGTCTAAC